ATGGCGAAGCCGACCCTGCGAGTACCACTCCAGGAGTCGAGGAACCTGAACCACCTACGCCTGAGCTTGATCCGCAAGACTACAAGGATGGGGAAGGTCGTTCAGTATCCCCGACGAAAACATGGTCGCACTACCCGACATCGAATCCAGATACTGAAGAACGGAAAAGAGCTGCCAAGCGCAGTGGGCAAGGTACAGCAACCGCTTCCAACTGGAAAACCGCCTATGACAACCTCAGAAGGGTCAGAGCACGCGCAGTGAGCCAAAAGGTGTGCTATTGTTGTGGTTCAAACCAACATCACCTGGCTATTTGTCCCGACACTGAGAAGAAGGACGAGTTGATGAACTCATTCTCTCACATGGAGGACACTATGCGCAAGTGCTTCACCGAGGACGACAAGGCAATCATCCGACGTGATGTTGAAAGCCGAAAGAGGAAAGCAAAGTCATCCAAAGACGTCGAAGACGAGGACTACATGGATGTGGATGATGAAGATATTGAACTTCCCGAAGAAGAGCCGGAACTAGGAGGTAAGGTACCACCTCACTCTCCGAGAGCCAAAGGTAGACCACACTCGTCAGACTCTACAAAAGAGGAATACGCGAAAGCGGTCGAGGCAACCAAGAAGGCCTTTGGGAACGCCAGTTTCGTCACCAGATTCAAAGAGCCCGTCGACCTCTTTGACATTGCCGATGACAAAGAAGGAGGAGAGTACAGGGTCGCAAATCACAGGGTTGATAGATCAGGTCCTGATGGAAAGAGGGAACTTGATGCACTTATTCAGGAGGCTGCAGCACTCGGAATAAAGATGCCCAAAGTGAAGGACCTTGTTCCTGACCCACAACAAGTTCAAAAGGCTGGATATCGGCAGATTGAGGTGACTTGCAATAGAGGAAACATCGAGATAATTCCACAGTATGGAGTTACATTCTATGTGGAGTACTGGAATGGACCGAAGAGAGATGCAACTTTCACGGATCCACCAAAGATGAACCCAGCAACTCGCATCGACAAGTTCAGCGAGGAGAGTCAGCGGGTCAACGAGGTTAGCCATAGACTCAATAGACTACTCAGGCATGGAGTGGGAAAGCATAATGGGATTCAATCGCACCGCGGTCGAAAACCTCATGTGTCCCCGAAGTGCAATGAGGGTGGATGGGTGAACATCGATGAGATCCTGGAATATGACCATGTCTTCAACGATGGTGTCGATATCAGTACTATCTCAGGTGATCGGCATCGTCAAGATGTCAAGACAGAGCGATACCAGTATTTATGCAAGGCGATGTGGCATGCAAAGAAGTTGCAGAACAGAGTACGCTATCAGATTGCCGCCATTCGTATCTCAAAGGAGGATGTCTCACTCGAAGAGGAAAGGCAATACTGGGCAAACCTCATGTATTACAGCACAGATGCACCGTCATTTCTGAAGCATGAACGTTGGATCGTTCCTTGTGCAATTCGAGCTGTTGCCTCTCACAATTCTGGAAGAGAGACTGTTCTTGAAGAGGATGTGTCAATATATCCTGTGTGGACTTCACATCTCATTCCAGAGAATGTGGCAATGCAGCTTGGAGGAAGCTTTCACATGACATCGCTTTCCAATATTGAGTCAATCATGAAACTAGGAATTGTCCCTGGTGGAATGGAGGGATATAGAGGTAGTGTTTTCTTCAACCACTTTGCGCCGTGGGATGATCGATCATCAAAGATTCTGAGATCAAGATGGCCAAGAGTGGGAATGCCCGTTTGCCTTTATGTTCCAATCATGACTTTGAGGAAGCTTGGGGGAAGAATTTCGGAGAATTCCTACACTGTTGTTTTTAGAGAAGTTCCATGGAGATGTGTACGAGGTGCTTGGTATTGGGACGACTACGTTAAGGCATGGAGGAGACTCCTGCTGGGAAGCACTGGAGAGCAAGTTGTTCTAGCGGCACATCATGGACTTTGGGTTGCTCAGAAGCATACCATCCTCGAGAGAGCCGACGAAGTCACGAAGTCAGCCTCGGCGACAGATGACAACGTCCAAAAGCTCGTGTCCCTTATCGATGAAGTACAATTCGATGGCAATGGAGAGTTGATCGAGGATTCCATCAGTGAGGAAACTTGGAACGAAATCATCTCCAGAACATGTGAAGGGTATCGCAACGTGGATGGCAATATTTTGTGTCCATCATGTATGCATCTGACTTTTTCATCTTTGTCCGTGTGTCTATCTTGTCAAGGCAGGCTACTCTCGTGTGGTATTCGCAACACTGTCATTTCCGATTCACCCGTTGATCTTGTGAGCGACGATGAAGAGGAAAAGAAGGAAGAGAAGGAGCCTGAAGATGATGATCAAGATATCTTGGACCAGGCCACTATGGACGAGATCAGAAAGGCTTGGGAAGAAGACATCGCTCAAACTGAAGCAGCTGACGACGACGAGGACATGGAAAATCTAGATCCTTCCAAACCGTCTGATGGTGCAGAAAACTTCAAGAGTGACAATGTCGAGACCCCATCTTTCAATGAGGACGAGATCGACTACGGTCGTGATGCTGATCTAGAAGATGAAGACGAACGAAACGTGATCATCGAGATCCAGAGGAGCACACAACAATATGAGGGGAAGAAACGTCAAGATGGTGAGCCCGAGGATGAAGACGTCACCGACGACTTACATCCGGAGGCGAATCGACCGACAGATCGTGATGAACCGGGATACTATGCACAGCATGGAGCGACCGAGTTCAATCCCGAAGAAGGAAGAGACAACGAAGATCTCCCCATCTATTGTCGAGTACCGGAACCTCGAATCTATGCGCATCAAGAGAGAGCCTACTGTCAGGACGTCTCCGTGAATGCATCGGGTTTGATGGATAGGTATGTGGTCAAATGTGTGCTGAACATGATCTCCCTGATGTACAAGAGCTACTATTGCACCAGCCTTACCGACTTCAAAGCAAATTGGAAAAGGAAGCGACTGGATGTGATAAGCAAGTTCGGTACAGGGGATTCCACTGAAATCGATGACGATGGGAGACCATTGGATCCAACAGATGATATGATGTTAATCTTTGCCAACGACAACAATATTACAACTGAGGAGGCCTGGCACCGATTCAGAGGAGAGCAATTTATTTGCAAGGTGGCACTCGTGATCCTATCATTTGGTCATACTCCGCAATCCTTCAAGAGGGATTATGGCAACTTCGAACACTCCACCGACTTGACTGATGCCCAGCTTGAGGAGTTGAAAGCGAAGAAAGCCAGCGCAATGACTGAATTGGTACAGAAGTGCATCCATGCGATTTATGGGTGTCGGACATATTCTTACTTTAGAACCGACGTTACATCACCCTACCACAAGGTGATCGATCCTCTGGACATCATGTACTCGAGAATGAAGAGCAAGTGGGAGAAGTCTATTCTGTTGATCATTGATCAACATGAGATCAGGTTGCCCCCACAAGCTCAGGAAGTCATAGAGTCAATGGCCAGAAACCCCAACGTTGGACATACAGAGAGATGGATGAGCGTGGTAGAACATAAGCATGTTCAAGCTCTTACCAATCGTCTAGGCTTTGGAGATAGGGCCAAGGAGATTCAGGGCAAGAAGAAGCAGGCAGCCAAGGCAACAGCTAAGTCAACATCAACGACTAAGTCTGAAGCGAAAGCAGCATCTTCGTCAAGAGCTGAGGCAAAGCCAGCATCTACACCCAGAACCGAGGCCAAGCCGTCGTCAGCACCAAGTGAGGAGCCAAAACCTTCAACAGCACCTAAGAGTTTCGGGCCCTCATCAGCAGAGGAGAACAAGGCGAAGGCTGCTCCAAAAGCCAGACTACATGATAAATCACCATCCAGTGCTACCGATGTGTTTGAGCAAGCTTTGCAGGAAGATCTTGCCGCCAACGCACATGCAGCAGAAGGTACAACTTCTTCATCACCCCGAGGACATTCCAAAGGAGGAGGCCAATCTGGAACATCTTGGAGGCCGGCGCTAACGCAAGAACGTCGCGAAGTACCTCAACCTTCTGAAAAGGGGAAGGGAAAGAGCAAGTCCAAGGGAAAGTCCAAGAAGGGAGAAGATGATCGGCGGGATGCTCAGGGCAGCTGGGATCATCGTGGATGGAGAGGTTATCACCAGTGGTGATTTCTTTGAACGACTATGAGGATACCATGCAAACCAGAGAGGAAGTCATTCACCGGATGTCTATCTGATCTGAAACGCTGTAAGTGTATCATTGCAAATCGTCAATCTGATTTGATACCATGAGCATAATGGAAGGCAGACAGTCACCGACTGTCTCTCCGACTTGCCGTTCTGTAAGTGTATCCAAATCAAAACCTACATCTTTTGAGAAGTGTGAAGTCAGTTGCCGATGTGACATCTACGTGGAAGTCACCAGTTCGGATCTACATCAAAGCGATGCTCTTTTGAGTGGATACTGAGCGAGGCCTCGTGACTGTCTCACTTGTTCAATTCGATTTTTCAAAGGTTCTGAGCCATAGTTGCACACTTTATATGTAAAAGTCCGCTTTAGTCCAGCATGTTTCGTAGTATGAGCCTCATATGAGTCTCGCGGCAAATCATACAATTCCTTTTGTAGCACTTACATCCCTAAATTTTCGTGTGTGATCGGAACATATTGTTGCCGTTCACATGGGGGGTGCGAATGGAAGTGCAGCGACATGTACAGTGCAACATGTACATATATATATATGTACCATATGTACTTTGGCTCAAGGATCAAGCGACTAGAAAAGGTGCGGTTTCCGTTCCGACGCTACGCCGCTTATGGACCGTCAGTGATAGCTTCAAACTTCGCTGATTAAGATCCACTCGCATATACAATATATAAATACTTGAAGTGGCCTTATTAATCAACAGTCTTCATTTGTTTGGGACATTCTTTGTTGAACTTCCTGGGATGTTGTCGTTTTTCTTGCAGAGACAGAGTGCCACACCAAATCTGGAGACAGTGGTGAGACATCCTCGTTGACTCAGCGACTGGAGGATTTCCAGAAGCTGGACAAAGACAAGAACGGCATGCTGAGCTTGGAAGAACTTAGAGCCTGGGAATCGGGACTTTTCCACACTGAAGCCGCGATGATCAGGCACTGTACACGCGATGATCGCGCTGATTTCGTGCGCAGACGTGCGTGCAATTTTGTCTAGGGGTGGCGGGTTTAGGCATTGTGCGTTGGGGTCAGGTTGGCCGAACTTCTTGCTAAACAAGTTGACTTGAGACATGACTCCCAGCCGAGTGAGTTGACTTTTCTTTGACAGAGGCAGGTTACGTACTATAATGTGTTGTTGCTGTTGTTGTTGTTGCTGCTGTTGTTGTTGTTGTTGTTGTTACATTGGATGGTTGCAGACTGCGTTAAGCACTCGTTTTGTGTGTGTGTGTGTGTTGCAGAACTGAGGATGACGAACCACTGCTGTTGTTTCCGCCGGCAAACCTTTCAGCTAAAGGACACAATCGCCTTTTGGAAGACCCTTTACATCCCTTGACCATCCTCTACCTACAACATACACCTGGGGCACCACCTGCTCTCAGCTCCATCTTGTCCTCCGCCCGGCGTGCGGGTCCCGAACGCGGACCAACCGCGATCCGCGAGGCTCATCCAAATCGCTGACAAAGACGGTGACATGCAAGCCACAGCTCAGGAGCTCGAAGATGCACGGGAGGAGTTGGCCAATAGCCACTGGACACAGACAGAGAGATAGGGATGAAGGAACCCTATCACTGATGGGTCAAGGGAAAGATGGAACAGGGACCGGAGTGGATTGGATTGCAACCAGTAGATGAGTTTCTGACGTTGGAAGGATTTGTCAACAGAATTTTCAGTGTTGCTCACAGGAGATGTTGATTCACTCGAATTGTCGAACACTCAGTGTTCACTACCCGAACTGGGTGTTCAACATGTTTTCGAGTTGGCATCCCGGCATCCCCTTTGAGCCAACGAAAAACAGACAATTTCCCGTGTTTCGTGTTTGAGCTTCCCTTTACACCCCAAAACGACGTGTTTTGCATAATATGTTTTGAGGATGAACCGTGATGAATCATGCATTCAGATATTATATATTCCGATAAATGTCGAACGTATAAAGCATCTATACCATCACCACCCAGTTCGGGTTTGTTTGATGAACCCGCTGACCAATGCATGTTCCATGATGACCTATTCAATAGACCGCGCCTGGTGTTGGTGTGATGGTGTGGGTTTGTCCCAGATTTTAGAGAAAGAAAAGGCCCCAGGAACCTGCAACCAGGCCCCATCATCCACTGGGCCCTGCGCCGATGAGGTGATGCTCAGTACCACCTCGTCGAATGGGCGGAGCACAACGAGCTCTAGCTTAAGGACAGGCGGTGGAGAAAAAAGAGCCGATGGTTGGACCGGGAGCCCGGTTGGACCGGGAGGCGGCGGCGACCAGAAACATGGAGTGTTGATATGCAGTTTGAAGTCATTGTTGACCTAACTTAGTACCTAACTTGTTTGGTGCAATTTGAGGGCTTCAGTTGGGAGAAAAGTGAATACACCTTTTGGACAATAAGCATCGATTTGCAACTGTCCATTTGGAGGTTTGTCCATATTTCTCTAGTCCCACGGCCATGGGCCTGTTCATTCTAGTCTCCAACTTGCTGTGTTGTACGGAGGAGGTTTTGGACTGGTAACCTAGGATGGCTTGGCAGGGTGTGTGTGAAGACACGAATAATAAGCTTCAAGTCAACAAGGTTCGGTTCAACTCAGCAAGGTTCGGTTCAAGTTCTTTGCTCCTGGGCCCTTTGCAGATCAAATGGCACAGTTTTCGAAGCACAGTTGGTTGAGAAGGATCCGCTCCTGCTGAGGAAATGAATCTAAACCTACTCAAGAGTGGCCTGCAATTTGCCCTAGGGGAGGGCAATGGGGCAATTTGTTGCAAAACAAACTCCTGCCACCTGGGAAGACTGATGGTCCTAGGCTCCGCCTACCGAGTTGTCGGAGCCAGGCCTTCTCCGGAAGTGACGCTGCGGAGCGCGACGTGTGAGAAAGAAAGCATTTGGCTGACGTGTGAGCTGCCGAAGCATCTTTTTTGGATGTTTTTTTTGTGGGTTCTGGGCTTGTTGAAGTCTAATCACGACGCGCTGGTGCATAGGGTTTGAAGGTAGGTTTGTGCCATTCCTTGAGTTTCGACACTTGTCAGCAGGATTTCAAAGTGTTTTTTTTTCTACTGATCTTTCAGTAAACATTGGATTTGCACGAAGAATATGATCAAGCCATGTTTGTCGGAAGCTGCTTTTCCAATCGTCTCCCTGCTGACTAATAGCATCCTAACACTCCTCCCACCTTGGAACGGAGTTTGTCCTTTAAAGTTATTTTCCTGAGGGGGACAATTGACAATGAGCGCAGGGTATTTTCACCCACATGCACCATGTGACTGATGGTTTTTGTTTGATTCCCCACCTCGCCCCTTTGACCTCAGGACGACCCATGCGGAGCTCCCAGAAGTGCCTCAGCAGCTCATCGACGTGGACTACGACTCCCCGCAGCCGCCCTACCCGGACTTCGTGGGCCCCGCCACGCCCGGCGATGCCACGCAGCGCCAGCGGCCCACCGCCCGCGCCAAGGCCGCCCTGGCGCGCGCCGCCGTGGCGGGACGGCGGGAAAGGACGGTGCTGGTGATGGGACATGGCGCCTCACATGTGGCTTGGAGATGCACAGGAAGAAGTTCCTTTGTCCCATTGACACAGGAAGAGTCCCTTAACGGGAATCATGTTAATTATGCTTCATTACCTTTTTAAAACATGTTTGTTCTAGATGTGGGTGAATTTGGCTTGGGATTGTGTAGCTGTAGATAGTTTTTGGATGTGTTTGGTGCTTATTAGTTACATGTTGATTGTTTTCTTGGGGCTTGCATGGGTACCTGATGACTTGACATCAACTTGCAACTTTGATCATCATAGTCATTGTGACACCCGTGGGTGAAGATATTGAACGTCAGCTTTGTGCGTATGATCCAGCTATATCAATACATTTGCCGACATAGCAGGGACGCATGTGTTAAACTGAGGACTATGTCACTGAGGCTGGAGAGTGACTCGATGTGTTCGCCTACGTGTGTGCTCAACGTCGTGGTCCTTGGGTTATGGAATCTTATATGGGTTCATTTCGTTCTGGGGCCGCGCGGATGCGCAGCTGGGATGCGCGTGCCAGCGATTATTTTAATCGTTTGGCGATGAGGCCCACCTGAAATCTTGAATTATATACAAGGCCACCTCCCTCTATCGACAATCGATATGTGTACCATATGAGTTTTCCATAGTTTTCCATGGTCTAGGTATGTCGTTCGGTTGCTTTCAAGACTTGCGGGTCAAGGTTTCCCCGATCCTTGAGGCTTCTGTTTTGGATCCCTTTTTCTGCGTTGGTTCCGCTCATCGTGATTTGGAGGTTGGACCGTGGACCTTGTTTTCAGTATACTCGTAGCAAAAAGGTTCCCCACCCAAACTGAGGTTTCGGCCGGAAATGGATTAAAACATGCTCCCCACCGGGGCTGTTCACACTATACGGGAGGCCGTTTTTGGCTGAGATGTTCTCCCCATGTCCACCGGGTGAAGAACGGAAACCAATTGCAGGCCTTGATTCCTGGCTCCTTGCGCTTGGACCAGCAGACGCCCTTCTGTGTGAACCATGCACCGAGACGGGGGTTTCAAAAAAAAGAGAGAAGACGTCTCAGGTCACGGCAGTTTGGCGCCAAGTAAGTAAGTTAAGGTAGTAAATGAGAGTTAGTTGTGCTGTGGAAGTTGGGCCTCATGTGGGGAATGGCGCTGGATGCCAGTATCCCCCGCGTGAACGCACACGAGAACCAGCATCATTCACCCAGGTCACTGGACATCGAAGGAACAGTTTCCAGCTTATGTTGAGGGGTTGATGGTTTGGTATCATCCTTTACCATATCGCATGCAATTGCTGATGCAGTTATGTGTGGTTATGTGTGGTTGCCTTTAGTAAAGGGATAATAGATAAATTAAAATTGGGTTACTCAGTGGGGTCATACATGTTGCCAATATGAATCGATCATGTATATGATGTGAATTAACACCCATTCTATATGTGTAAAACGTAAAGGGTATATTTAGGGTGTAGCCCAGTACCCGTAACAGTCGGTAAAGAACTATCACTATTTTTAAGAAAGGCCTTTACTAACCATCATCATCCACGGTTACTGGTAATGGGATACACCCAAGGTATATAACCAAATTTGTAGAGATGTTCACCCGGTTTTCAAACTTGTGGCTATTATGGGTGGGTTCGAGGTAGCGGGAGGCTCCACACATGGGTGGTGGGTGGAAGGATGCAGCTGCAGTCTCACAGGGGGAGAGTAGCCATGACTCTTAGGTGGGTACTGTACTGGGATGAATTCCATAGTCGCTTCGATTTCATGAACACTCTAGGATTTCCTAAATGTCCACTTGGTAGAATGCACAGCAAGTCGTTGGCAAAGTTTATATTTTAGTAGCACAAATGACTCTTCCCATGTCCTATAGCTGATCATTTAAGGGAGGAACAGTCACCTGTTCCACTTGACCCCACCAAACGCCCCGCAGGTTCCTGCGGTTATTCTATTATTCTGGAGCGGTTCGAGCGACGGTGACCCGACCACCACGACGTCCCAAGCGTCCCAAGGGGAGCCACAGCCACGACATGAGCGACATGAGCATGTTTTCCAACTGCTAGGGCCCTATAGGGCCTAGTTCGACTATTCCATAGGTACCCCAGTAGGGTCCTAAAATAGGTCACTTACTGTAACCTCTCTTGGTTTGGTTGCCCTCGGAGTCCGATAGGCGCTGGCACCTGTCAATCCCTGAAGCCTTTTGAAGCACCCAAGGTAGCCATTACCACGCTCTTGCGGCAGCCGGATGGAACGCGCCCCGCCATGTAATGTTCGAGATGGCCATTTGGAGTTTTGTTTTGCGAAGGGGTCAGCTGCAGGAGGCTTCCTAGTGATTCATTAATGCAGGGGGTCTTGAATTAGTGTTGAGGAAGGGGGGTCGATGGAAGATCACTCCTGACCTTGACGCAGAGGTTCACGCTCTATGGCTTCAATGAGAGACTTGCTTTCGGTGGAGAACGTTTTTAATATTGTATGACTTTGCGTTGATCCAACCCAATCATTATGTTTTGATATGTTTTGATTTTGTATGGAATCTTACTCTTACTTTTGACTTGGGCATTTAGATGGACTGTTTGGCCTTACTTCCATCAATGGCCCAATGGCATGAAACATGGTTCTTATTTGGCAATAATGTTTGTACATCATCATTGGTACATTTCAACATCGACTTGGGACCTCAGGAGTGTGCCGCGTTTGCTGGCCAACGGCTGGCAGCGGACCTTCCGTTGGACGCCCAAGCGGCCTTTCGCGCAGCGCCCTGGGCGGATGTTCATCTCGAGTTCATGGGGAGATTCTTTGGCGCTTCAAACGCCAAGGGCAATGTTTGGCAAACTTATATTAATCTTAGAATATCATAAATAAATATATACACGCATCTCCAATTTATATAATGTTATGTTTGTGTATATGCCACAAAATTGTGCATATGATCCAACTGGGTAACTGGGTAACTGCAGACTTGGTGGCCATGTGGGAACCTTGTTGTGACCACACGTGCTCGAGTCACTGGGCGTCGAGTCACCGTGCGCTGACTCGTCCAGGCCCGCAGAGACCTGGAAAGTCAATGAACTCCT